GGGCCACAAATGAGAATTTCTAGTTAATCCCCTTCTAATGTAAAATATGAACTATTTCTGGAATAAGGACATTTCTAGTATAACATATCACACATAGCAATTTTAGAGAAATTGGAGACAGTTGCTCTTTATTCTTCAAAGATGTGGGAGGAGGAGAGGCGAGAATGGATGTTTCAGTTGACTGAAATAATCTGTTCCATAACATGGGAAGAAGTAAATGTACCTGCAGGTCTTTAACTGTGCTTATTCCTCTCACCATCAACAACAAATCCTGTGGATTTGGTCATATTTACCTTTTAGGGAACCATATATTCCAGCTAACACAAATAGGTCTGATTTTGAAAGAACACACATCTGCACAAATACAACATTTTATAATTGTTTTGCTGGAGCTTTCTGGGATATAAAATACTACTTACAAGTAAAAGCCAGATAAAAATGGAAAATATAGATTTTCATCTTTCACTTATCCTCTAGCATGCAAAGACATCACAATTGAGTTGTTTAAGTCCTTTGTGTGCTACTTTACTTGAATACATTTTTGCTAAATCACAATTAAAATTCGTTTTTACGTTTTGTTTTCTTGTTCTGCAGGTTAATGGAAACATTCTGGAAAAAGGCTTAGTGAGCCTGGACAAGATTACCCCAGTATCACTGGACTCTGTGGCAGGGGCACCAGATGACTCGTGGGAATGGGATGAAATAGATATGACCGTCATGGAAGCAGAGCAACAAGACGTACTACAACCTGACCTTACCACAAACCTCCCCATAACTGTACAATCAAATTTGCCCTCAGACACTCAGTCCAATGAGATTGAAATGGATATCCAAGACACAGAGCAAAAGAAGATGTCATCACTGGAAGTGCAGCACAGTGTTAACTCTGATTCTCCCCCAAAAAATAACATATATCAGGTTTACAGCCTCCACAATACTGAATTATGTAATCCCCCTACATTTTCACCAACTTTTACACTAAGGTACATAAATAAACCTCTAACAAACAAAGAACATGTTTTGTTGAAGAGTATGAGTAAGGATTCTTTGTTGTCTTCCAATGAAACCCTTCCAGACCTCTTGGGAGGTTTGATGAAGAATAGCCAGCAACAAAAGGGGATCAGTGATGTTTGGAATAATGAAAGTGAGAGTGGCAGAAGAAGTGAGAAGTCGGAAAATGTTCTAGGATCGGATTGCGAGAGCGGGATTGTAAGTGACAATGGAGATTCAGAGACATCAACACACTCCAAACTGGATAAGGATGTAGAAAAACAAGAAAAAAGAGACCTGGGGAAGGTTGATGAAAATCAAGAACATTATAATTATAAAAGAAGCAAGATGGGAATTTGTAAAAATTTGGAGGAATGGGAAATGAAAGAGGTGAGATGGGAACCCCAAGGAAACAGGCAGGAGGAGGAAAAGAAGGGGTGCAAAGAGGAAGGAGGGGAGGCTGTTGAAATAGTAATCAATGGACAGGGAATTCTGACCCCTGCAAATTCAGACTCTGACCTTGATGTAAAAGAACTTGATGGCTCCTTCAAGATTTTCATGACCTCAGGAGACAAGTCAGAGTTTAATAGTTACCATTATAATAGTTTTCCAACGCCACAATCAATCAACAGGATATTAAGTCCAGATTTGTCTCAGAGCTCTTCTTTTGAGTCTCTGTTGGCTCTGGGTATTGAACTATTCCCGTCTAAAGAACGTCTCCATCAAAGCACGTCTTTGGAAAGTTTCCTAAATCAGTGCAATAGTCCTGACAAGGTGGAGGCAGGCAGTGTCACGAGTCCCAGTCTGCTGAACCAAGTACAGGAGGAACATAATAATAAGGCTGGATCAAGAGGAAACATACATATTGTAACCGAGACATCTGGGGATCTTAGCCAAAAAACACTTGACCTCCTGAAACGTTTGGAGAACATTCAGAATCCTCTGGTGGGGAAAATGACACGCAGCGTCTCTGACATGTCAATTCAAAGCAGCGCCCCACAAAACAACCAGTTACCTACTTCCCCCTCTTTAGGTTGCCAAAACACCCCACTCTCTGGAATCTTAAGCACTTCATGGAAAGATGAGCGAATGCTAATGAATGAGACTTTATCAAAAGTATCACTTAACGAAGTGAGTAGCACAAAAGACTCATCTCTGGAATCTGAGGACTTTGTCAGACTCAGAAATCAGTATCACCGTTTTCTAGATCCAAGCATGGCAGCTAGTGCCACATCCAGTTCTCGTAGGAAACATTGCTACAACAGCAAGAGGGGCGGTAAAGGTGTAGATGAGTCTGATGCTGCCAGTTTAAGCATGGTGGTAAACGTCTCATGCACTTCAGCAGGCACAGATGAAGATGACAGTGATCTGCTTTCTTCCTCCACACTGACACTTTCTGAAGAGGAACTTGGTGTTCGGAAGGAACAGGATGGCTGCGACAAGAGGGTAAATGGCGTATTTACCGGCATTGAGGATGAGGAGGACAATGATGAAGATGACATAGACACATCCTATGAACTAGGGCTGGAGTATATGAAGACAGAATTACAGAGGTGGATACGCTCTCCCTGCACCTTTGCTTCCTCCTCAGTCAAAGTAGAGGCAGGACTTTTAGATGAGTTGCAGTGCGAAAGCACTCCATCCTCTACTTTCACACGTTCACCTTCACAATTAACAGAAACCTATAGTCAGGATGGGAACAATACAAGTAGAAAAGCACACAAGAACAAAGTCAATGTGAGAAAAAGCTATATCAGCCAGTTTGCAGATGACGTGGAGAACGGAAATATAGACCACAACTGTTTACATGTAAAAGATGAAGATGATGATCTTCTCCAAGAAGAATCCGGCTTGTTCACTAAGAAAAGACATACTGTAAAGGAGTTATATATGAATACCAAATCAGAAGAGCCAGTCCAAGATGGTGGCGACTTGAGAGCTGAAAATGATTCAAGTTTAACAAGATATATTTGTTCATCCCCTACCAGGGATCACCATCCCCTCTCTTCTAAGCGTGCTTCTTGTTTGGTGGGTGAGTTGAGGGGGGAGCTCCCCTGCCATAGCACCTCCCTTCCTTCACCTCCTTTTCAGCCTACAGCCGACGGTAGATCTCATAGTTCGATAGACAAAAGCCTCTCGAATGCTGGACGTAAAGCCATCACCATTCGAGAGAAGTTTAAGTTCTCATCACTGGTGACAGAGGAGACAAGGAGGGAAATCAGAGCAAAAGATTCATCGCTGGCTTTGAAAAAGGGAAATGAATCACATTTGTCCTGCTGTAATCCCTCTGTCCTGTCAACCCATCCGCAAAGCAGAAATGAATGCAAAGGGGAGAATGCTCATCACTTTGTAACTGAGGTTATTGACAAAGCCTCTATTGCACTGAAAAACAAAAAGAATAAGTCAGATGGAGAAAACCTGAGGGAGACCACTGGCTCTATGCAAGACCCATCCTCCGCATCATTAACACACATCCGAGACAAGGTAGATTTCTGATTCTACACAATATGTCATTTAGATAATTCCTCTACAGCTTTTATAAATTTTTGAATGACAAATGTACAAAACCATCAGAAATAGATTAACATGAACCTGAAGCTGTTCTTATTGACCTGGTGTTCTGTGCACTTCAAGGAACAATGAATGCAAATGAAGGTTATTTCTCCTCCTTTGTTTATCCAGCTGAAGGATTTCAATAAATCGCATCACAGTTAAGAACTTTGAAGGCATAATTATTAATTTCTCCAGCAATCTAAAAGTTCATTAAAATTCAGTCCTCATTTTTTAAAGTAAAAAAGAAACCAGGCGAAAACATTAATATTTAAGTATGGATTTTATGGTGTGTTAAATCTAAGAAATTACAAAACAGAAAATAAAAGTTTTATTTGCATAGTAATTTTTGCCTGGAATTTTTCTTTTTTATTAAAGCAACACAACATCGTCATGTTTGTTTGTATAGATCGTAGGGATAATTAGGATTGGTTATTATTAATTCAGATCTTCTGCTTAAAAAACGATGCAAAAAGCACCAAAAGTGTTCATTTTCTCCCTTCAGGTGCTTCAGCAATGCCACAGGCCTCTCCAACTTCGGAATGGAGACTTCTACTCCTACCTGTCACTCTCCTCCCATGACAGCGACTGCGGTGAGGTCAGCCAGTGTGGTGAAGAGACGAGCTTGACTCCTGTGCCCTACAGCCTCCCATCCTGTTTCAAACTGACACAAAACCTAAACAATCTAAGACCCAAACTCAGCACCACACAGCCAGCAAATTCAATCCAATCACCTCTCTTGACCAAATCCTCTTCACCTCATTTGACACCTGAGAACAATGTTGGCCTGTTGGATTTAAAGTGTTTTGACGGTGAAACTTGCAGTGGCCCTGGTGAAAGCCAAGCAGAGGAGTCTAATAGCCCATCTGTTTCCGTACCTAGCAGTCCTGACATTAGGAATGAAGAGACTCTGTTTAAAGCCTGTACAGAGGAAGTTTATCTAGGCCCTCCTCTTTGCTACAGCATTTTGGTGAAAAATAAATCTTTACCATTCCAGCATAAAGTGTGTTTGGATACCTCTTCGGCTAGTGGCTATGAGCTGACTGAAAACCCAATTTGTTTGTCCCTAATAGAGCCAAATTCAGAGGAGGACAACAGGCTGACTGACCCGTCTTTGACCAAACAAGACTCTGGCTGCACAAAGGAAACACAGAACCTCTGTCCTCCTGTTTCCGAACCTTATAACAGATCATTTTCCAACTCTTTGCTCTTGAAAGGCAACTCGAGTTTTCCAGGTGACAACCTTTTTTCTCCTGTGCCTGTTTCAACGATTGCAAAAGAAGAAAAGCTCGGGGAAGACCTGTACCTGTCCTCTGATGGTGTTGCAGGAAGAGTCTTCACTGCTGCGAATGTCGGCATGCCGCAGGAGGAGAGAAGTTGTAATGAGGGGTCTTCTTATCTTAATCCTTGGATGCGTGTTGCTCTGATAGACTCCTTCACCACAGAATGTTTGGGAGATACTAAAACGCTTGAATCCAATATGGGCACCATAATGACCAAGATAAGTGTCTCCAGCTCTGCCACAAATCCCTCAAAAAACCCAGCCACTGCCGCCACGCGTATTAATCCCAAAATTAACTGCTTAGTGATGAGAAAGCCTGATAGAGAGGAGGAGAGGGGCAAAGAGGCAGATACTCAATGGGCAGAGGAGGAGAAGAGGAGAAGGGGGTGGAGCAGTGCACAGCAAGAAGAAAAGTCTACCACGGTGAAAAAGGTTAGTGTTCCATGTATTTGCACAATCACCAGACATTATACAGTCCCATGAAACTGGACTCCACTTGTCTGCTTATGCGATTGAAGGATGTGAAGCTTTGGTTTCTCTATATTCCATTTCAAAAGATAATACAAGGGAAGCACCAATCACATAAACATGGTTGTCTTTGACATTCATCGACTTTTCACAGTTTTCATCTGTTCCTTCTTCTAGTTAATGTTTTATCTCTCTTTTCACTTTTTATCTTTCGTATTCATCCAACTCCTCAGTCTATACAGCTTCAGTTTATTTTATTAGAACAGAAAGAGAATATTGTCCTTCTTGGGGAAATTGTGGTGTTACAGCGGCAAAATGTTTTAGCAGACGTGGTCGGACAATGTGGACAGACATAACAGAATAGGTAACAGAGTTGAGAAAATAGCAAATAATTACTGTGCTGCAGAGTGTTTTTACAATATAAATTCTCTGTATCTGCAGTATAAACAATCAATAAACAGCTGTAGAAATTTTTTACAGCAATGGATATGTGAAAAAATAGCAGCAACACCAGTGATCTGCAAAATGACAGCAGGATGTTATTTAACTAAGACAGAAATTAGCATGAATGTCACAACTTATTGAGGTTGTTGGGAACAATGATGGTTATAAAGTCTCACAGCAGCTGGGAGGAAGGATCTTAGATAACTTTCCCCGGTGCATTTAGGGTGAGGCAGGTTGTCAATGAAGGAGCTCTCCAGTTCAGCACCGACTCCCGCCCAGCTGCAATGTCTCTTCCCCCTCAGCTTGCGGGGGTATGGGCTCAGCTTGCGGGGGTATGGGCTCAGCTTGCGGGGGTATGGGCTCAGCTTGCGGGGGTATGGGCTCACCCTGCGTGCATAAAGCCGGGCGTACACTTTTTCAATCGTTGCACGCAGCTACAGCTCACAGTTCATGATGTATGTGCAGCACGACGCTCTCATGCTATCTACCTGCTCGCACTGTTCAACTAATCGCATGTCGGAATCATCTCCGCAGTGCGATGGAGCTGCTCTTACTCCTCTATCCAGAAGCCAAACAAAGAGAAGGAGAACATGAAGCTCACTAGAGTGAAACGCGCTGCCTTGGAAAATTGAGCAATTTAGTGCTGAAAGCCCTAAAAAGAAAAGGAGACGACGTATTTGGACAAAGACATGGCTGAGCAAACGTGGCTACTACGCAGGGGCGGAGCTAGATGGGGGGCCAGGGGTGGCCATGGCCACCCTTAGCCAGTCAATTGCCCCACCTGTGGCCACCCCTACCATTTTTTCCTCTAATAAAGACAGCGGCAGCAGTAATACTCTGAAGGGGAATTTTCAAACTTATTAAACATTAAAATTTTTCATATATTAACAATCACTTTACAACAGAAACACTGCGGGTAATGCACATGCACAATAATGTACTAACGCCGGCCTGGGGTCTTTCTGCATGGGCTTTGCATGTTCTCCCTGAGCATGCGTGGGTTCTCTCCGGGTACTCTGGC